GGAACGCCGTGGAACAGGAACACTCATAGCCCCACGTTGAAACACGCTAACAATACACTGAGACGATCGTATAACAAATGTTTAAAGTTGGTACCTGTTTCATGGTATCTATGATAGTCAATAAAAGAAGGGAGGGTTATAATTACTTCGAAAATATGGCTCTGTGCTTTTTTCTAAATTAACATTCACACCAGAACACAAAAGGTACAACACAAATTTACGTGTTATCGAACCATTTAATTTACATTCAACAATTGCTTGCAGCTGATTAGTGGCAAATTATTTGATATTATGGCCAATAATATTCATATGTAATGAGTATTAATCCAGCTTATTTCCAGATTATGTGAGTGGTTCCCAGCAACTGTTCCCCAATCTGTGAGCCTTTTCCGTGGATTTTGCCATGAGAAAAACAACTTGAATCCCTGGTCTTCAAATAGCATGTTATACAGTCGAAACCACTCCTCTGCTATTCCATCCCTATGTTGAATTGGATCACCTGGTACATGGAATTCAAATACAATCTGTTTGACAAAGCGAAGTGTTCCACTTGTGAGCATTTCCGGAAAAGCTCGTCGTTCACCTCCTTCAATATCTATTTTTAGCACATCAATGACGTTCTGAAAAAAAGGTCTCATTGTAACAAGGATAAGATTAAAGTTTAGGTTATCACATGTTTGTTTTTTTGTATATTTCCATCTCAATTTGTGAATACAAATCCTAAACGTGCATGAATGATGGAATGAATTTTCGTAAGATTCAGAATATTTTATTTGATTTGTAAATGTACGACACGTAAATGAACTTAAAGGGGCACTTCCAGTTAAGCCTAATCTCGCAAGAAATTTACTTTCTGGATTAAAATTACAATGGATAACAAAAGAACATAAACAATAGTGTCCTATTATTCTTTGGTCCAATCTCTGGGTTTGGAAGATTTCTCATTAACTACCAGAGATTATATCATATGTTTTATGCTTCCGTACTGACAAAGTCTGGCCAATAACACAAACAAATATACTCACGTGCTTAAGCATTGTTCTAATCGAATTGAGTGTTTTACACCTCCAACCAGCTGACGTCATGTTGTCACTATCCTCGCCCCATAAGCACATGTTGTAAAACCACACCTTTTCGGAATGTTTATGGTCGGGCTTACCAATGCTAGAAGAAAACATTTTTCAATAAAACAGTCATTCTAATGCCAATCGATATTGATATATATCATTGACAAAATGTTACTTCACACGAAATATTAAAGGACCTTGTGTTACAGTATATGTTTGTCAAAAATAATGCTATCATGCTGGAACAATGTTTACCATAGTACAGATGTTTATATAACATGTGCTTTGTTTGACATTCTGAGGCAAAAAAAAACTTATTTGCCAAATAGTAAAATTCATAAATCATTTATCATATATGTATTATACTGTATCCGAATGTCATTATTTAAAAAATAATTTGAGGATGTGTTCACTAACACCTCACATCACTTCATGTATACCTTAAGATCATTATACATTTCTCGCTTACTGTTTTTACTATGTACTGTAGTGTACTTATCAGTTGTTTTGTTTTGCCCTGGTGAATCATTTGCATTGTGTGGGATTGTAGTGTCGATTGTTTGACAATCATTATTTGTTTACGTTGTTAGACTTGTCAATTGTTTTGGAACTTAGATATTGTTGTTATTTCTAGGAAATTTCAGAAATGTATGTTACAGAAATAATTATAGCCAAATGTGAATATTTGGAAATATATAAAATAAAATATAAAACATAAAATAAGCATGTTTGTCATAGTTACGTGGGGTCAAACGAGTAACATTGCATCCAAACTCGGCCATGTCGTCATCAAAACTCCAGTCATGCCCAATCCTGTTAACAGACAAAAATACATTGTCAACACGTGCACTGGTCCAACTAAAAGTTCTCAATGTCACAATCAACAACAATAACTTTTACAGCAGATATCATATATTCCATTAATTACTTCATATTTTGCTATTTATGGCCTACCCAAATGAATAAGCATAACAGTTATCCGGGTTGATATGAACGTCTAAACATATCGTCCATCCACCATCCTTCGGGATAGGTTTACCCATGCGTCTTTCTTCTTGGCATTTGTACTGAGGCTCCGTCAAATATTCATAAAATACTCCCCATGCTTGATGTTGATCCAATTTATCTAGATGTTCGAATGATCTATTCGGTAATAATTTCGCCGTAAGCTTTTGCGTCCCTTCTATCTATAAAAATGCATGTATAATGTACATTGTTATATTGACAATAGTGGAATGTATATCTCAAGATTATGTTCACTGATCAGATAATTTTAATATTGATGCACGACAAACTAGGCTCCAACAATACGATTATGTCATTTATATCTGTGTATATAAGCACAATCGTGATCTTTATTCACGTGCACTTCAAAGTCAATTAACTTTAAGAAAGTTGTGTAACAAATGTTTGATACGGTTTTGCTAAACATTATATGCATTTTATTGAAAAGCCTGGCTGAACTATTACAATATACTGTGAAGTAAATAATCATACTAAATAGCAAAGACGCACATAAATGAGAAACGTATGGTACGTAATAAAAATAGTTCATGCGATATTTGAATTCCCCCAAATCCAGATGACATGCTAATAAAATAATCTCGCTTAAACTCAATGTTTTATTGGTATTTATTATTAGGTGGAAATTCAATAAATAACATTTATTGGTTTATATGTCGGGAATGAGGTGTAGTATCCCGGATGTAGTATCGTAGCAATCAACTGTATTGCGATTTCTCTAGTGGTACATAAAGTTACCTTTCCAACTGGTGGAACGTCATTTGCCTATGTCGATTGTCTGTGACCACGACCCAATACGGAGTTATCAAGATAACCAATTTACAAATCTGGGTTTAAAATGCAGATTTGGCTTCAGGAAATATCATTTCACTATTACGTCATTGGTTATCGTTGTAGAATTGAATGAATGCACAGTAGCGTCACAGAAGGAGGTCCAAGACGTCATAAGTCAAGGAATATAAAACTTAACATCATACTATCTAGAACATAGCCCCATCTCAATGTACAAAACCAACATTTAAGGTAACTAGTGCAAAACAGAGGTTGGGTTAGATACAGGAATTAGTCGTTGACAAATATGAATATTTAGGGTGGTGGAGAATTAATTAACAGATTACGAGAATTTATTCTCACACTTTCTCCTAACTATTTTAACAGTTTTATATTGCCTTATTATGATTTTAAAACTGTGCCATAGTTGGAGCCAAGAGGAATATCCACAGAAATGATTTGTTCGAGGATTGAATTGAATTGCCTGTGTCGTAGAAGACAGCTAATACTTGCCACACATGGGTACAAATCGATAAATGGATATACACCTGTACATTTAACGCCAGGTTTTAAAACTAATAATCATACAATATGATGTATGTTATCATCACATCTATGGAATAACACCCAACTAAATATTGAATGTACTCTGACTGTTTCGTCGTTTAACACTTACTTTGAGAAGTACATCAAAAGTTTGCCTGAATGAATTTATTTAAATTACTTTTGTTGCATTTTAATATTTTGTAACTGTTATTATTTTACTTATAAAAGATGTGTACTTTACGTTTTTGGTCACTCGCAAATAAGTCCTGGCTACCTAATGAGCCTCCTAGATCAAAGCCTTCCGAGCTTAAATAAAATAAAAACAGCATTGGTTGTATTGTCCCGGCAGATCGCTTATTTATTTCTTTTGTATTGTGTGCAGCATAAGGTGTTGTAATGCACTTTGGTCTCATACATGACCAAAAGAATATCAAACAATCAAAATTCAAATACAATTGAATATGCAGTCACGACGAATATGCGACTGGCTTATACATGATATTTGCAACTTATATAGGATATAGGATAGGACAGGATATATTTTTTGTGCAATAAAAAAACCAAAACGTCACTAACTTGTATGCAAATTACCATGTAATTATTGAATTCTTTTCTATTAGTGGTTCTTAAGTATAACAGAAAGAAATTTAAAAATATAAATTTCCATTAT